ATAAATACACTGAAATCAAAATAAAAGCTAACTTTGACAAAAAGGAAACACTCTCTACTAGTAGAACTACTAGTCATTTTCATGTATGTGCCTAGCATGAACTGAAGTTATGAAAGAAAGTTCTATATCTGTGTTAAGAAGTCTACAAGGCCAACATTGATAGCTGGAGTGTTGCAGAACAAAAGAGAGCCAAATTACCTCGTGCTATGTTTACTCACTTAGTAACTGTTTAATGCCTGCCTCTAGCTAGGTCTGACCTACCATCACCATGACTATTGGACAGAAACTTGGGGATGTACTAATGTACTACAGCACCAGCTGCCACCAACCTAGAAACTATGGGTGTCATCAGATAATCTGTGATAGAGATTTCCCCGAGGTGTTGTAACTCACCCATTTGATGTTTCTACCAATGTGTTTGAAAGGTGCTTTGGTGGATGGATTCTTGTTCTGCAACTGAAAAACTCATGACAATTTTCCACATTGGAACATGGTACTGGGGACAAACTTATTTTGTGTGTGTGGCAGGGTCTCACTATATAGACCCAGCTAGCCTAGAACTCAGAGATCTGCCTGGCTCTGTCTCCCAAGTGTATGTGTCACCCACAATGCCTCAAAACAAACTATCTCCTATTCCCTTTTGAGGTGAGAGTTATGCTTTGAGTCCATACCAGTGTGTTCATCTCCAAATGTATGTGCTTATTTAGGAAAACAAGGAGGGAAAATAACAGAGGGAGATGGCCCTGACACAGACTCACTCACTTTCAACCCTGCCCATCCTGAATTTCCTCCCTTATGAAGCTGCTAGGATGTGAAATGAGACTCCCACTGAGAATTGGCATTATATTATCATATCATAATATTAATACATTATCATTTCCTAAACTTTTTCAAACATTGTTACAATTGCTTTGCCTCTTTATCAACAGTAGATAACTTCAGATCTAAGTTTTATGTAGCTGGCACAGAGAGAAATATGCCCCCACACCTGCTACAGAGCACTAAAGAGACCTTTAAACTATTTCACCATTTTATAATATTAAACTAGGTAACCCTTCCTCAACACGAAGTCTTCAAGAAAACATTGGGTTGAGTTGACCATGCAAAACGTCAATGTTTTTTTATTATACAAATGTGGCAAGTAAATGTGCTTTAAAAACAACAAATAGGGTAATAAGCGATGCAAAATTCATAGTATAAACTTTTAATTGATTTTAGAATTCTAAGTTTTAGCAAGCCTTTTCATCATTTCCCTTGGGTGTTGTTATACCCCTCTTCTATTTTTAACTAACTTTCATTTTATGTGTATGGATTTTTTTATCTGCATGTATGTCTGTGCACCACCTGAGTGCAATGCCTGGGGAGGTCGGGAGGGTGTCAACTCTTCTGAGACTAGAGACATAAATGTTTGTAGGCCACCATATGGGGTTGGAGAATTGAACTTGGGTCCTCTAGAAGAGCAGCCAGTGCTCCTCACTGCTGAGTCATTCTCCAGTCCTGTTATGACCTCTTTTAAAAGCCTCACAAAATCAATGGTACCAAGAATAATTGTCCTGAGAACATGTTGGAAGAATGAATGCTCCTCGGTATTTGAGCATCATGGGCATGTGACCTGCACCATAGCAAAGGGTTAGCACTCATTAGGAACCCAACTTTGATTTAACGTTGTGCTATCATCGTGAAATTTTAGACAATTTTTGAAAAGTGGAAGCCTGCATTAACATTGCAGTGAACCTTGAAGAATGGATACTGACATGTAAACTTCCTGCAAAACAATATATCTTGTGCCAAAGAAAAACAATAAAATGTTTAAGAATTATCCCTTGTACTAAAAAGTTTATAGCTTAAAAGTAGGAATAAGAATAGTAAAGAACCCAGCATTCAGGAAGCAGAGGCGGGCGGATCTCTGTGAGTTCAAGGCCAGCCTGGTCTACAAAGTGAGTTCTATGACAGCCAGGACTGTTTTGTTTTTCATTTTTTATTATTTTTTGTTTTAATTTTACATTCCTAACATAGTTCTTTCTCCCACCCCCTAGTCTCCTCCCATCCCCCTTGCCTCGCCCCTAGCCTATCCCCAATCTACTCTTCTTCACAGGTAAGGGTTCCCATGAGAAGTCAACATAGTCTGGCACAATAGGTTGGGGCCCCTCTCCCATGCATTAAAGACTGAGAACGGCATCCCACTATGGGGAGTGGGCTCTAACAAGATACCTCATGTACCAGGGTTATACTGTGGTCCTACTGCCACTGAGCACTGCATCCATCCCTGAGGAATGGGCTCCAACAGGCTAGCTCATGTACCACGTTTGTATCATGGTCTTACTGCCAAGACTGTTTCACAGAGAAACCCTGTCTTGAAAATCAAAAGAAGGAGAAGAAGAAAAAGAAGAGGAGGAAAAGCAGGAGGAGGAAGAGGAGGAGGAAAATTGTAATCAAAGAAAGTGGGCAGTAAAATATGCAGTAGAGGTAAAACTACAGAGCAAACAAGGCTGACAGCTCCATGGTTAAGATTAGCATCAGTGTATTGGATTCAAACAAAGGAAAAAAAAAAAAGACTTAACCAATAACATCTGGGAGTTAAGACAGTGTGCTATAGGCAAGCCTGGAAGTAGGCTCATGGTCACATGGAATCACTTGGTTTCTGGATCTCAAAAGCCAGGCTGAGAAAACTAGTCAGCTGTTGGCAGAGAAGGGCCTAGAACACCCAGACAATGAGTGTATCAGTAATTAACTGTGAGTCCCTGAAGGGCTGTAGAGAGGGAGGCACTAAATCATAGTCACAATTTCAGATAATGAAAGCACACAAGAATGGTCATCTTAACAATCTCTAGACTCTCAGCAGCACTGTGCTATTTAACATACAGTGCAAAATTGTTTTTGCACAGTGGCCAAATGCAAAGTGACATCAAAGTTAGCAGTGCCCACTTCTCTTTTATTCTACCTGTCACTTCTGCTTGTCCTAAGCTAATGACAACAACAACAACAAAAATCACTCATTCTGGAGAGCCATTACTATTCAGAGTGTCAAAACAACTTTTAAATCTAAGACAGCTGTAAACACACACACACACACACACACACACACACACACACACACCTCCATCTCCTAAAACAGGGCCAGTAGAAAAGGAGAGCTTCCTAGAATCATCAAAAAGAGCATTTGATTGCCATTTGGCCCATTCCTTGAGATTACAAATTCATGAAAGCTAAAATCAGCATCTTAAGAACTTAAGAATGCAGCTATTTCATCGATTACTAACTGAAGTTTTCATCAGAGTGTTGTCAGATCAATAGCTGTGCACTTTTAGGCTTAAAATGAATATGCATTCTTTATCTTTCTCGAAGTCTCTCAACACACACACACACACACACACACACACACACACACACGTGTGCACGCACCAGTAAACACACACATATATATCCTGTCACATAAATATGGCATCTCAATAATTTAATTTCCTTTCAAACTATACTAAACTTCAAAAGAAATTTATATTTCCACCTCTCCTGATCTAATCACACCAAGGGGAAAAGAAACATCCCACTGACATTGAACTATTTTAATATATTATTACTTGATATCAAATTAGAATTTTATTGTCCCTTCAGCAGGAATATAACAAAAAGATTTCATGTGGAAATGAAAAATGTATAAAAGATGAAGCAGAAACAAAATTAATTAACAGAAATACCCAAGTAAGGGACATTAAAATTGCATTTTAAGAAAACTCAATAGATATATTTTAAGATGTATTACTGAAATAAAATGTGAATTTGACTTGGTAGCTCCATTTTAACCACTGACTCACACAAAGCAAAAGTGTAGAAATAAAAAGTTTAATATTCCAGCCCTCAAAGAGGAAACCTCAGTGTGCACTGGCCTTGGTTCCCATAATCTATACATTGCTATTTAATAATGTTTCCATTTTTAAAAATAAAGTGATACAAATTTTGGAGGTGAGGATGTGTATGCACAGGGTGTGTGTGTGTGTGTGTGTTTGTGTGTGTGTGTGTGTGTGTGTGTGTGATGACTGTGTGGGTACACACATGCACACCAGCAAAAGGCTATCAGGTATCCTGCTCTATCACTCTCCCCTCCTTAGTCTCTTGAAACAGGCTCTCTTCCTGAACCTGTGGCTCACTATTTTAGTCAGATTGGCTGGCCAGCAGGCGCCAGCAGTATGCCTGCCCATCTCAGCTCCACCCCCACCATGCTGGGGTTACAGACATGCATGTGGCCATGCTTAGTATTTATCTATGTCCTAAGCTTGCAAGGCAAGCATTCTCAGCCACTCTGTTAACACCCCCCCATGTCCAAATACAAAATATGTTTAAAGTCACTAGAATTGCCAATGTTTCTTTGAGAATGAGAAGTAAGTTTTCCATTAAAATCCTTACCCTATGTTGGGTTATCATAATAATCTATGAATTAAAAGGGAACTGGAAGTAAATGAACTTGGGAAATTAAACTCAGGATTACAGGCTAACAAGATGCCTTGTGGAATGTCTCTTCCTTAGCTGTGTTACTTTTCCTATGGAAACCCACAGGAGACAGCTCAGTGAGGCACTGAGGTCTGTTTAGAGGAAGTGGTGTCAACACATTAACTACTAGATTGTGAGAATGAACATCCTTTCCTGCTCAAGTAATTCTCATTTGTGTTTCTGAGAAAACTCTGCATGTCTGAGTATGCTGGATAAAATTTGGATGTCCTGACTTGACCACACATCCTGAGAACCAGCAGCAGAAATATAATAAAGCCCACCCAAAGTCATCTGACCCTTCCACAAATTGGTAGGCAATTAACACTGAGATAAAAGCATGCACACACAAGTGCACACACAAGTGTAAAACAAGTGCACACACACACACAGACACACACACACAGACACACACACACACACACACACACACACACACACACACACACACACAAAGCTGCATTTCAAAGAGGCACGCCAAATTCTTCCAAATGGAAAGAAAGAAATAAGTGTCCTACCTTTTTAAAAATTCCATATACTCGGTATGCTTGATGAGTCCTGTCCTCATCATTATTGTTTGAAAACATTGTCGATCAATGGCCCAGAGTTTCACATTTACAAGAGCTGGAGAAAAAAGAAAACAAAGTGATCAGGGAAAATTAATTAGAGAATTTCACTTATGAACAACACCCTGTAAAACAGATTCTGTATTCATGAGAGATATGAAAATGATTAACCTTTTACACACATTTAAAGATCATAGTACTAAGCTGTCTTGTTTCATCAACAAGTCAGCTACATTTGGCAGCAACATGTGGTTCCTGGTTTTCTATCTAATACTATGATTTACCAAGAAGGTCCCTACTGCTTTCACGTTCCTGTCCATCCACTCAAAAGGACACACTGAAGATTGCATGAAGGAAATAGTATAAGGTAAAAAGAGAAATAAGTCTTGCTGGTAACTAACCAAAAGATAATTAATGACTCACATAATCGTATTTTAATTATTAAAAAAGTACAAATAAAATAACTTTCACTTTGGGGATTTGATATAACTGAAATAATAAGTATCTAGCCATTTCTACATAGCACTTGTTTAACAAATAGTAATGTACACAAACTATGTAGAAGTGTTATTAGATATGTTTGCTGAATTTTAATTTCTCTCATATACCCACTGTCTTTGACAATGTATAATTAAATGTTGAAGCTTAAAGTCCATGATTAATAGACAAGATTGAGAACAAAATGACAGGTGCTATAGAATGTGATAAAACAGTTTATCAAGGTAAACTTATGTTTTAAAAAATGAGCATATTGGGGGCTAGAGAGCTCAGTAGTTAGGATCACTGAATGTTCATCTAGAGGACCCAGGTTCAAGTCTCAGCACCTACATGGCAGCTCACAACCATCTGTAATCACAGTTTTGGACATACAATGTCCTCTGTTGGCTTCCACAAGCAATAGGCATGCAATGTTGTGCATAGATATACATGCATACAATAAATCTACACACATAAAATTTTAAAAGTTGAAAGATAAACATACATTAAAATCTTTGTAAATAAACCTGTGTGGTAAGTATATGATATGCTTATTATGGTTTCTACTTTTATGCATATCTTAGCATTTTCCTAATAGAAAAATACATTGTTAGCATGTGTATTAATGCAATATGATGAAAATATCTTTTGCATTCTAAGATATGGAACCTTTGCTGGACCTCATAGCCAGAGATGATACTACACCTTGAGGTCACTTAAGACTGCTGTCCTATGTAGTCGGCCTGTTTATTTAATCCACTTGTAAGAGAAGAATGTAACAATCAACCCTACTTGCCTTGAATTTTCCATATAATCAACTTTTAAATTTAAATTAATGCATAGCTGTAATCTTAAATTACATACTCGTATATACCCCTGATCCAGAAAAATGCATGTGTAGCATTTGCTGAAAGCAGTAAATACAGAGACTGAACCCAATCTTCTAAATGAATATCCACCATAAATGTTGAATGCAACTAGGTTTGGATATTGTTCAGTTGGAGCCAGTGACTAAATCATTGTAAAAACTCTGTTAGAGCTTTCTATAAGGTGCCCTATTCCTTCCACATGTAATTGTTTCCGTGCTAGTCAATCAATACAGAGTGAAGTCCTTTCTTAGGGACAGAAAGGCAAAGATAGAAGACACAGGCATAGGCAGACAGAACACAGACAAAACTGACAAACACAGACAGACAGCCTCCAGGCAGGTACTGATTCAGACTCACAGCAGACAGATGGGGGATGAAATACATAGGGAACATGACGTAGATAATTCAGATCCCAACTGGCATTTGATTAAATGATTTCAAGGGGAAGTGCTTTTTATTTCTTTCTTTAGTGTGACAAAGATTCATTATTGGAGTTAAGCACTAATGTGCTTAATCCGTGCAAGTATGAAAATTTTAAAAGACAGGATCATATACTGAACTTGAAAATATAGGAGATGTCCAAAAGCCAGACTGTGGTGGTGCACGCTTTTAATCCCAGCTCTCAGGTGACAGAGGCAGGAGACGAGCATTGTCTACAGAGCAAGTTCCAGGACAGTAACAGCTACACAAAGAAACCCTGTCTCAAAAAACCAAAACATAAAAAAATAATAATAAAAGAAAATATAGGAGATGTAACAGCAGCTGGTACTGAGTGAAACTACTGGGTAGGGTCAGCAGACAGTTCAAGTGAACATAGTTAAACAGAGAAAGCCGGATTAGAAGGGAAAGAATGTCACCAGTATCGTCAGAATGCACATGTACCTTGAGGAGATGGGACAGAAACAATATGAAAGGGATAAGAGAAAAACAAGATAAATGGAATGGTAGATTCTAGAGCAAACCCAATTCTGGTATTTTACCTAACGTTCTTGCAAATCTCTTTGAGGCTAAGAAACTTGAATGTGGTTTCACCCTTAACTAGTTCGTCAGTGGTTTAAAAAAAAATCAGTAAGGGAGAAAAAGAAGAAAGCAGAAAGAAGTCATATATGCGTGGCTTCTTTCCAAATGTCTTTGGGAAGTGACACTTCTTCACATAGTCATCACAGGTATTCTCCAGCAACAGTCTAGATTTTTCTGATGACAGACTCATTTACTTAACACAAACCGTAAGACTGCATGATATAAAAACAAAGAAGTGGGACACGAGAAAGGATGACTTGAGAATAGAGCCACAAGGGAGACCTTGGGGAATGATGAAGCTGAAGTGTACACAGTGAGGAAAGTACTGGAACCAACATCCAGCTAGAAATGAGCTATGGAGAGCAGCACCATCAAGCAGCACGGAATGGCTGAGACTTGTGGCATAGAGGGTGAGCTGATACAGGACTCTGAAACACAGCTTTATAAAGTGAGACTTCATTTGATGGATAACAGAAAGCTGTTAGAGAGCTTTAAAATAAAAAATGAAACAAAGAAGCCGAGCATTGGTGGTGCATGCCTTCAATCCCAGCACTCCGGAGGCAGAGGCAAGTGGATCTCTGTGAGTTCGAGACCAGCCTAGTCTAGAGAGCAAGCTCCAGGACAGGCTCCAAAGCAATACAGAGAAACCCTGTCTCAAAAAACATACACAAACAGAAGAAACAAAGTAAATAACCAAAATTTAAAAGAATATGCCTTGTGTACACCAATGTGTTTCAAAATGTTTATGTGTAATAAAATAAAAAATTCCAAGGTCATCATCATTTTAGCAGTTATTAGGTATGGCACATATGTGTATACCAACCACTAAAGGAAGAATTAGGTTGCACTAACTAATGTTACTAATTTTTTATATTTAACATTTTTATTTTTATTGTGTTTATACGTATAGGTTGCACATGTCAGGGCATGAGTGTAGAAGTCAAAGGACAACTTGCAAGAGTTCTTTCCTTCTGCCATGTGGGTCCCAGAGACTGAACTTGGCTCCTCAGCTTTGGTGTCAGACACTGCTACTCACTGAGCCATCTTGCTGGTTCCAATCTCACTACTTTTTAAAACAACTATTAACCGACACACATACACAGTTTCCAAACACACATTAGTTGATAACTAGAAATGGAGTGACTGAGAGAAGTTCAGAGTGGATATGTCTTAAAGCCATAGCTCTGCAGGAAGAGAAGACTCAATATTTCCACCCTCTGAGGAGATGCACATGAGGCGTCCTTTACAGTCTCTGAGAGTTACAGCCAGAGAGACAGTGAGGGACACAGATTAGGAGAGCCCTGAGCCAAGTGATCTACAGAGCAGCAAGGGTGCCAATAAATAACAGTTGATACAGAATCTGTAGGGCAAGGGAGTAATATGAAGAGAGCTCTGGTAAGCAAAATCATCCTGGTAATTCAGAGGGTTCACCGTTTCAGACAATGGGTGACAAGCATCTAGTTAGGCCACAAGCAACTCAGGAATCAAGAAAGGAAGTCACACTGAGTGTGACAGCAATAGGGATAAGAACGAAGGCTTGGGAATTTGGGCCTGTGTGGAGTGTGTGTGCATATCCTTGTGTGTTTCTTTTTGTGGAAGGGTGTCTGTGTGTGCATCTGTGTGGCCATGTGTGTCTGCATGTATCAGTGTAATATTGCATTGTTGTCTTGCATGTATATTTCATGTTTCCTTAAAAAGAAAGTATATGTTCTTCTAGAGACAAGTTCCTTATTTCTTTCTATTACCCCAACCAGTAGAAATGGACTTTCATTGATAAGCATTAGGCAAACGTCTTAATAAATGAAATTTATATGCATGCAGTTCACCTAAAAAAATCCTCCCATGAGAATGAAGGCCTACATTATTTTACATGTTATAATCAAGTCTCCAAACTGTACTTATCAGATTTCACTATCCATGGTTTTTTTTTTATGACTTCTGTAAATCAGTTTACAGATTTCAATGATTTGCTTACTTGGGCTACTAAAATGTCCCTAAGGGAAATTTCATTTCAGATAATATCGCTTCATGATAATGTACATGGGTTGATGAAACAGAAAATTTATCCATGACCTTGAGCAACATACCAAAGCCTTTTTGCACTTTAAACCATTGCATCTTAGTGATGTCGGCATTTTATAGGTAGGTAAGCATGACCTGTCTTATTAAAAATGTAATTTTAGAGTTGTGATTAACATCTTGCTTAAGTCACCTGCAGGGGTGCAAGTGTGTTGTTACCTTAAAGAGACTAACAAAAGAACTGTTTTATTTATCTTTGATCGTAAATGTCTTATTAATCTCTACAGGGAATCATCTCTACGTGAATGAAATACCTGAGACTCTCATGATGACTGCAGTCAAACTGTGACAATACAGGCTATTGCTATGCTCTTGGTTGCCTGCCAGAAACTGAAGGTAAGATACCACACTTAGGACACAGGACTTTGAGAAATGGGGCAGGAAATCTGCAAGCCTCTCCCTAGGGACTAGCTCTTATAGTACTGAAAAGAGACATGCAACCAGTTGTCCTACTCAGCTGTAATGCCTACAAACAATGACTGAATGACAACATATCCCATCAGCACTTGCATCCTGTGGGAAACCAACACCAATCTAATCAGATTTAAGGGCCACTAAAATAGGAGGAAATTCGTGCCTAGTATCATAAACCTGTGGCTCGTGAGGTGATGTT